TTATGAAACTTTCAGTAAGAATAATTAATGTCATCAAATCACAAACTCACCTACGAAGACAATGGAAAAACACTCGTAGGCAGTAACATTAAAAGTAATCTAAACAAAATTTCAAGAAAAGTATAATTTGAAATTAATAATTTTCAATTCCATCAATTCCAAAAATAAATACCCTAGTAGTAGATCTTTATGGACCACAATCAGGCACCTTACCAAAAAGCAAACAAAAAATTCCTGCTCTATATTCAAATACTAATATGGTATTAAGTGAAGCCCAAAAGGCAAATTTGTGACTTAAAACAGACAATTGAATTCCTTGCTAGAAACATTTAAATTTAACAATTATTATTATGTGACCATTTTACATGTTCATTACATAATCAGGAGGCATAGAGAGTAATATTAATTATCTTTCTTTATGCTTAACGAAGTTCTCGTTTAGATACAAAATTATTGCGCTTGATTGCTTTGATAGTCTTAATTTAAAGGTTCGTTGTCCCAGGCCGAGCCGGTTAGACGCGGCTCGTACAGCACATAGTAGTTTCTTGACCTGTCCTCTCGAGTGATTCAAGTCAATTCTACATAGAAGAGTATTAGGTACTATATCACCCGCATATGTACGGAGAGACATTATTGGCGCGCGGAAGCCAATTTATTTGACTGCTGGCACTTGACATCCGAATCTGCCCTGTGTCAACATTCATCTCAGTGAAAAACGAGCCTTCGAACTTAAATTCGGGATCAAAAGTGGTAACTGTACGCAGATTTCATACTATGAACATCTATATATTTTATAGATGGAAGATCTTTCCCTAATTTTAAAACATTGTTAAAATCAAGAAAAAATCTTTAAAAAAGAAAGAATATTGCATTATTACCGTAGTTTATAATATTTAATGATAGGGACTTGTTAAAAATATTCTATTTGTAAACAATAAACTTGAATATAAAGGAGAACATATTATTAAATAGTTGAAAGTCTGAATCATATTCTTATACAGTTTTACTACAAAGCAAGATAAAATAATGTTTTCTCATTTTTTCGGTTCCGTAATGGAAGAATCGAAATAATACTTTAAGAATATTAAAAAAGAGCTGTTTTAAAGAAAGAGCTTTTTAAGCGTTACTGTAAATGCGAAATTTGAACCTTCTTTACACAGATAACTTGACTTTTCGAAATACGACATTGAAGTCATTTGAAGCACGTGCACTCACAAATGTAGTAGTGTATAACATTTGTTGGAAATGTGCATATAAACAGCGTGAGAAATATTTTAAAAAACTATATTTAAGTATTTTTGGAAAAAATGAATACATAAAAAGATATTTTATATAATTTTATACAGTACATTTATCACTATCTCTACCAAAAGTTTAAATAAACTAGTGGTGCTACAGAATGGCACAGACTTTCCCGCATTTGTTTTTTTTATTTTATTTGGTCTCGGCTAGCTTTACGAACTTGCCACATATTCTTGCCAGCTGCCATCTATAGCCGTCCAAAGAACATTTTTTTTTGAAATTTTCCTAATTTTTTGGCTTTCTTTTAATGAAACGGAAATATTATTTTATGAATATTAAAGAACAGTAAAACTTTTTAAATTGTAATTATATGAAAAATTTGGAGCCGTTTCTAAGAAAATGGCGTTTAAACGCTACTGTAAATTCGACAATTAAAGCACAGTAAATGTTTGATTTTTCCAAAAACTTCATTTAGAGTCATTTGAAGTACTTTAACTCACAAATACTATAGTGAATACAAATTGCTGGAAATGTGCATTTAAACGGCGTGAGGGATCTTTCAAAAAGATTACATTTGTGTAATTCCCAATCGATCCCATGTATTCCCCAATCGATCTGGCGTGTGCCGCGGCCTCTTGAATTTGAAATCGATATTTTAATTTTGGATGGGACTTTACATGAATCTCTGGGACATTTTCCAAATTTTCAAAAATATGACGGCATCGTTTTCGATTTTTTTTTTTTTTTGGATAGTGTGAAGGACGTTTAAGAGAATGGAGCAGGTCCCATATTTCTTGAAAACCCTAATATTTTGAAAATTGCTAAAGTAAATATTTTTTGGAGTTATACTACATTTAAAGTATATGATAGATATTTTTCGTTAATGAAATCTGTTCTTTAAAGATCGATTTTGAAATAAGATCATGTACAAGATTTCGAAAATTTGAGTACTTTTCCCGCGATTTTGCGTGACAATACGAGCGGGAAAGTACGTTGTGTGTTAACACCACTAGTTTTGGAATTGCATTGAATTTACTCTGCTTGTATCCGAGTTGGGTGTTGTGGCGTCCTGCGGAGCAACCTGCCGCAACTTTATTAGATCGGGGATGTGGTCTGAGTCCACTTCAAATATTGGGGGATAAAAAATTATGATGGCGTGGTAACGCCGCTGTCGTGAATGCTTGGATTTTTGTCACATTCTAATGGATAATATGTAGGCTCAATTGGGTGATTACTTTAAGTTTCAATTCGTTAGAGATTTATGTGAGTACAAGTCCATTTTGATTGTTGTGATGTTATTTATTACAGTGTGGATGATTTCAGTTCCGGCTGAATTTATTAAGTCAATTTGAGAGCGATTTGTTTTAAAAGCTATGAATACTCCGCCGCCTCAACTTTAAGATCTGTCTGCTCTGTATATTGTTGATGAATAATCCCTTTTTCTTATTTAGGAGGGTTTCAGTAAAGTCTCCATTGCAAACATGAAACTGAATTAATTCTGTTTTTTATTAGATATGCCATTGTCATTCCAATTTACAAGAACTAATCCGTTAAGGGGCTATTCTGCCATTATTATTATTATTATTATTATTATTATTATTATTACTTATGTAAGCGAAAACTGAGTTTTGAAACGCATTTATTATGGTAGGGATTAGAGAATTCATGAAAGTTGCAATGCATGAAATTGAGTTAACTTTAATGAGTGGATAGTTTTGAATACTAGTGTGTGTTGGAGATAGGTTCGTGATATTACGTAAATGGTTTGGATTCATGGGCTGATTTTGATTTTGGGAATTTGAGATGTGAGTGAAATTATTGATTGGAATAGTTTGCGGTGGATTTGGGAAGTCTAAAATGTGTTGAGAGGAAGGAGGGGGCTGTGTGATTTACATTTATTTATTCCTAGCTGGTCGGTAAATTTGTTATCACTAATGTCCTTGTAATAGGTGCAAGAATGGATTCAAATGCCTACTTTGTTTCCTGTTGCAGTTAACGCGAACTGGGTTTTTGTTCTTGCGGGAGCATGTTGCCGCGTAATGATTACCTACCCAAAATGCGATGTGAATTTTGTGATTACGGATATTCTTTGTGTGACCATAATCTAGGCACCTTTGACACAATTTGTTTTCTTCTATTTTCTGGAATTACTCTCCGTTTGCAAATTGTGTTTATTGTTAGAATTGGTTCAAGGAGTTCCGCGCCACTAAATTCTGCTGCTACTACTGGAATTTGTTAATTGTACTTGTTTAACATTGTGAATTTTATTATTGAAGAGTGTTGTGATTTTATATCTTATTTTAATATCGGCTTCGGAAATTGTCAGATGAAGATTTTTAAAAACAACGAAGTATTATTAGTGGGATCCTTCTGGATTTGAAAGCTTCTTTGTGATTGTACTAAGTATTATACAATATTTCTAAAGTATGTTGCAGAGCCTGTGTTTGTTTTCATTTCATTGTTCGGTAACATATTTTTTGGCAACTTTAGTTGCGAGTTCGTTTATTAAATTGCTGACAGTAGGGATGGCACCTACGTATAAGGATGGAATTCTAATATCTGGAATTATTTGGACGTTTCACTTTCCCTTGAGATGTGAAACTCTTCTGCTCGTAGAGCCTTCGCCGAGTTTAAGTTTGCCGAACTTATTTTGTACGAGTGCGTTATACGCGTAATCAGTGGAGGATTTTGAAAATCCACTCGCGCTTTCGCTTGAACGATTCATTTTTGTGTTTCCGGTTTCACTTTCACTTTCGCTGGCACTGACTGACCTTTTATTTCGTCGATGCGGGGGGTGGTGGTGGAGGAGACGGTAAAGCCCCGAAGCACGCGTATTGGGAGTGAAGGCTGGGTTAACGATGTCCTCGCCACTGGGCAGCGCTGGCGTGGCTGCGTTGCTGGGATCCATTACCACGCTGGTTTCCGAAGAAGTCAGCTCTTGTTTCCCTTCTCTGGTGATGTTGTCTGCTCTGTGCCGTGTGTGAAGAGCTTCGCTAGTTGTATACCCAGTGGATGAGTTTCTGGCATATGCCATAAAGCTTACGGCACTTGCTTGTAACGAAACCCAAGGCGTAATAGCAGTTGTAACCCTTGGAGTAGTCGTTGTCGGTTATGCGGGGCGCTAGGGAGCCAGACTGCACCGCTCGGTGTCTCATGCTGGAGTGTTCGTATATTATATATAATTTTACAGAATTAAAATCTGTTCACGGGATTGGTGATTAGAGAAACAATTAGTTACGCCAACGTTTCGAAATATTTAATTTCTTCATCACGGCCACAGTGTAAACAATGAACAGTGATTGAGGACAATATACATTACAATAAATTGATTGTTAAATAATTAACACAAATAAAATCTAAAAATCATCATTTCAAGAAATGGGACGTTCCCTGTATGATCATTAGTACTTGTGTGTACATGTGTGTACTTCCTGTATTTTGGTGTTTTATTTATCCTAGTTTATAATTTTATTTTTTTATTTTTTTTGTTTTATTTGTGTTAACTATTTAACAATCAATTTATTGTAATTTATGTTGGTCTCTTGCATTTTTCATTGTTAGTACTTTAGCCCTGAGGAAGAAATTATATATTTCGAAACGTTGGCGTAACTAATTATTTCTCTAACCCCATTGACCAATCCCGTGAACAGATTTTAATTTATTATTCTTCAATTGTCATGATTAAACAATGGTCAATATAGTTTTACGTTGTATCACAATGTACGAGAATCGTAGGAATTGTTGTGACTCTCCATCGCAGGCAAGAAGTTCTTCGCGATCACCTTCATTGGCAGCATCGTGTGGATTGCCGCCTTCTCCTACCTCATGGTCTGGTGGGCGAATCTGGCCGGCGACACCGTCAGCATTCCTCCCGAGGTAAGTGACGCTCAGATGCAGCTGGAAAGTGCATCGATCGGCGCCGAAGAATTAACTTTTTGGTCTCCACGCGTCCCGTAACCCGTTTGACGCAATTCCCGAACGCTCGCCCTATGGACGAATAGTTGTGAACTTCTTCCATTATTCCCTGTTTCCGAGACCTGGGTTCTCTGCTCTTTGGGCAAGTTGAATTTTGCAATGCGTTTTCCAACGAAGCTCTCAACTATTCCATGAAATATTGGTTGAGAGACGAGAGCGTTACACGTTCCTGTCCTTTTAAATTCATTATTCAATTAATTCTTAAGCTAATCTCCGCTAGTTTGAAAACAGTGTGAACATTGAAGAAGACATTTAATTCAAGTTGTCTCTTTACAAAAACAGAATAATAATTTTAGAAAAGTATAAGTGCAGAAGCTACAGACTGAGATGAAAATTATATTTTGTTAAAGTAATTGGTTTGATCTTTGGTAATGAGGAGAAAGTGCTTTGGCAGGTCTTATCTCAAAAGTAAAATTTATGTCTCAGTCTCCATTTTATATACACCTGAAAATACTAAGATAATTTAACTAGTACTGTTATTTGTTGAGACTTTTTCTCAAAAAAGTCTCAAACTCTTCAGATGGTCAGCTTCTGGTCTGTACCACACCACTTAAAGAATTACCTTAGATTGCCCGTGATTTAACTCCAAGAAGAAAAAATGCATAAAAATACTGTTAATGTGAGTTCTAGTTGGAAATTCCCGTCACTTGCCGCGAGTCATTCGATCTTGAGGGAAAGTCGCACTAATTACTCCTCCTGCGAAAACTTGCCGACAGCGCGTCTCCCGGAAATGAAGTTTGTCGAAATTTCCCGCTCCCGGTTAACTTCCTCCTGCGCTTGCTCATCCCCCCGCCCTGCGGGGGCGGGATGCGTGGGCGGGCTGTGGCGGGGCTGGGCGCCGGGGCTGCCTTGCTCACCCCCGCCCCGCCCCGCCCCGCCTGCGGGGCGGCGGGCGCTGAGAGAGGGCGTGCTGCAGGTGATGGGGCTGACGTTCCTGGCGGCCGGCACCTCCATCCCCGACCTCATCACCAGCGTCATCGTGGCGCGGAAAGGCTTCGGCGACATGGCCGTCTCGTCGTCCGTCGGCAGCAACATCTTCGACGTGACCGTCGGGTGAGTGCTCCCCCGCTGCCCCGCAACTTTGCGTGCCTCAGCACTTTTCACATCATTTGTCCGATACTTCTACCAAATGCTTAGTGTTGTGATTCAAATATGTAGTAGAAAAGGAATCAAAATCATAAATTAGCTCGAAAATTAACGGTCTTCAGTTACAAAAATGCTGCTGCCCAGTGTTTGGAAAAACCTCGAGCAGCTAAAATTTGCTGTTTTAAAGCAGCACAATTAAAAAACGGAACATTTTCCTTCCCCATCGCATGCCGTAAGCAGTAACGCACTGAGGAAGAGGATATAGTCGTATCTTCAGATGTGAAAAACTGCGGATGAACGTAAACAAAACGTTGCTTGTTTTAGTCAACATTGAAACTGTTCCGGTCTTTTGGACTTTGACTGTGTTCCTGGGTATTTAACAAAAGCTTTCACGCCTCCACAAGACCATCTGCTGCTTAATTTTCCATTAATTTACTCGTATGCACTATTAGTAATATATGTGTTCTTCAGGGGCTAACAAGAAAAATCAAATGAAGTTTCCAAACATTTGAATTAATTATTAAATACGTTCGTTTTCAGACTGAAGGTGATGTGCAATTATTGTCGATTGTGAAAGTTGCTTTTTTGCGTCAAATAAAAAAAACTTGTTCTTGAGACCAAGTGCACCTTATTGGCACGGTGGAAAGTCTAATAGATATCAAGACTCATGGTACGTAGAATTAATTGGGGAATAAGAGATATGTTAAAGTACCTAGTGTAGAAGGGAACGAAAAGTAATTAAAACTTCAAAACGAAATGATTGTTTAAGATAATGATGAGAGGAAAGGTCTACTTTTTTAATTGATAGGAAGAGAATACGATTAAGATTCATGGTTGAATAGCTCAACAGGGAAATGTAGTTATTTAAAAAATGTAAGAGACAAAATATTTTTAAACACGAGTTAACACGACTTCAGAATTCTCGCAATGTCCTTGGTAAGTAAGGTAAAAATTAATACAACACAAATGCGGAAAATAAATTATTTAAATAAAATGTTGCACCACGTTCTTTTTTTGTCACCTGTTACTAACAGTAGTTTGGTTTCTAAGATATTCCACCGTAGGCCAGTAACGGTGCATAAGATCACATAATAATATGGTAAGATTTAAAAATTCTTATAGTTAAATCATTAAATGCAAATTTTGTAACAACATTGTTATCTGTTTCCTTCAGCAAACAACATAAATTAAATACGTTCACATAGTAAATGTTTTCGTAATACATAGCAGGTGGAGTGCGTGCTGTCGTCACAGTCTATGTGCAGTGACGTGTGACGTGTGTCTTTGATGTATTTGTTCAATGGGGTACATGCGATTCTGGACATAAGCAGTTCCGACTCCAAGTTCTGTCTGAACTGTTTGGCGTTAGAATTGTTACACTTATTAGGTTTATATTATTGGTATTATGGTGAGTTTTCGTTAGCATTTACAAGGAAATAATTATACGAGTGGTCATTATTCTTTATTACTAAAACAGCTTCTGACGGCTTAACAATCATAGCTACAGGCCACAAATGGGTATTAAAAACTAGGTTGTCGTTTTGTGGCTTCCATACAGCAGAAAACTGATGATGATGGCTAAGCCATCGTGGCTCTTGTAATAAACAATATTGTTGGCAATGACTCATAATAATTTCAGATTTATATTAGGTTATACTTAGGTTACAATTAGGCTAACTTAGGTTATACTTCCATTTATTTACAGCGTCCTTTGACAGATCATCAGCTATTACGTTGTCATCCAATCGAAAGTTTAAATGTCACTTCAGTGACGTCACTATGGTGTCAAATGGAAGTGTAATGTGGATTAATACTAATGATGATAATGTGTTTTGATTCTCTTCGAATAGTATTGGTTTAACGTTTCTTAATTCATTTTTAAATGAATGGTATGGATGAAATTTTTACTTATGGAAAATATACTTTATCTGAAAATTGAACATTTCCTGGATAAGATATATTTGTAGAAATTCATTTTACAAAAAGTATGGGCATTTAAATAGAGCTTTAAACTTTTTGTGCTACACAATGGCACAGACTTTCCCGTATTAGTTTTAATTTCCTTTGGTCACGGCTAGCTATTCGAACATGCCACATACTCTTGCCCGCTACCATCTATCGCCACCCAATATAATTAAAAAAAATTCCTTAATTATTCGGTTTGCTAATAATAGAACGGTATTATTATTTTAAGGATATTAATGAACAGAAACAGCGTTATAAATGGTAATTTTCTTTTAAAAATTGGAGCAGTTTTCAAGAAAATGGCGCTTAAGCGCTACAGTATACTCAAAATTTGAAGCCCTTTTTCATAGAAAATGACAAATTTATTATCATCACTCTAGTCTGAACATTTCTTTTGTTATTCTTTGGTATCATCTCCTACGTTATTTCAGTAGTAGAATACCTTTTGCGGCTCTCTCACATAACCAATATTTATAAATGAGGTCTCTAAAGAAAAAAAATTTCACCCAGACGTGACGAATTGCAATTTGCCTTGCAAAATGTGAAGGATTTCTTTCTAAAAAAAAGCATCTAAATATTCATGTTGGATGCAACCCGAAGCACTCAATCAGTTAAGTCGTTAAATAGCTCCTAAATAAAGCGTTCTAGGACCTTAAGAACTACGTTCCTCACGCCGTGAGAGAAGATAAGATGTTCGAAGACATTCTATTGTATTTTTTCCTACTTCGCTTCTTATTGATGCTATTAATTCACCTTTATTTCAACCCTTGTGGATGGTAAGCATCTTTGTGACGTCCTGCTTAGAAGGCGTAGATTCCTCTATCTGAAACTATTTTCGCTTTCTGTGTACACCGTGCAGATTGACGAGGTTTATTTGCATAATTATTCATTCAAGATCCACTTTTGCAAACGGACGTTTTGAAAAAAACACACTTTTTCTGTATCAGGGGACCCCAAAACGTGTATTTACGTCGAAATACATCTATTTTTAGCAGCATTACATAACTTTCTCTATACTTCGTTCATTACTCCGTATATACGTACGTATACTAGAAAGTAAAAAAGCACTTTGAACTCCTGAGGAAATGAGAGCATTTTAGAATCTAATAGCAATGCACATTAACATAAAATGAAAGAAACGTATAGTATTTTATTAAAATTTTATATAAATAAAGCCCGGGCGACGCTGAGCATTTTGCTAGTTAGTTATAAATCGTGAATGCATTCTATAATTTATGTGCCATCATTTACTTGGGAATATTGTTACAGCAAAAGACAATAATTGACTTGAAAAAATGAAATCCTGCGAAATAAAGGGCCGTCGCGATCATTTTTAAAACAAACGTTGTGGAAGGATTATGAGTAGAATTGTAACTTGGGAAATGAAGTAAGCAGCCTTTTAGTAAGTGCGGTGAATTTAATATATATATATATATATTATATATAAATATTATGTATATTATATAAATAATATTATATATATAATATATATATATATAATATATATATATATATAATATATATATATATATATAATATGTACTTATTGAACGAAATATGTAAAGGCTGCTTTGTTTCATCTACTGTTTATTGCTTTTGTGGTGAAACGAAAGATGCCTGAGCACGTCGTAGCGTTTCAGGTGACTAAAACGAGCGGAGCAAAATCAGCTGGTTTGACTTGTTTGCGTTGATTTAATAAGCGAACTTGCGTAAATATTAAAAGGGGAAATTAAAAAAATGTGTTACAGGCGCTATGCGAATTTGCTTGGAGCACGGCCTAAGCAAAGGTCGCTTTAATCGCGCAACTACATTTTAAAATAACATCATAATACTTTGATTTATTTCCCTGGAACGACCAAATAATATTTTGTTGTTTTTTGCCAGAGGTAAGGGTAGAGATATTTCGCGAGAGAGAGATAGGCGTGCCTGCTGGCAGTCTCCCTTCCTCTAGAAATCTCCATTTCAGCCAAACATTTTATTTAAAAAACAACAACAAACATTACTCTTTTTGCGATGCTTAAGTTAGAATGTAGGTCTGACGTCATGTAGGCCACCCAGTAATGAAGTAAGGTATTATTAAGGTCATAAAGCTTTGGCATTCAGCTCAGAGGTGTCATTAGACTTGAGCTTCTTTTGTTTTTTCTCAAATCTGTGATGTGAGACATCGCCAAAATCGGTACATTTTGTTTAAAATTAAATTTAAAATTTAAAAAAGTGACAATTATCCCCTTACAAACAGCTCAACAAAAAGGGGCCCCCAGGCCGTGGAGATCCTGTAGGTTGTAAATAACTTTACTGCACTTTTTTTTGGCAAAATATTCAATAACCTTTAAAATTAATTTTCTATTAAACATCATACTCTAACGAGCCACAAGTCTGGACAAATGTTTCCCTTGCGTATTTTTTTCAGTTAGTTTTTTGACTTTTGTGGGGGCCCCTGGTACTCGGCCCCTACAGCTCCACCTCCAATCCGGCCTTGTCCTTCGCGTCCGCTTGTTCACTATTTGTTTATCACTACTTTGTTCACTACTCTTTATCGCCAGCGAGAGAGCGGGAGGCTGTTCGAGCCAATATGTTCATTCGAAGAGGGCTGGCAGCGCAACTTCCGGTTCCGCTTGCGCAGGTTCTTTGCCCCCTGCCTCATTCGGCGCCAACGCAGGAACCTCCTCGCGGCAATCGCCAGGGAAACAATCGTCTAGATTAGAAAAAGAGAACAAGTAAATTAATTGAATGAACTAAGAACAATTTCCCTCCCTCCAGCCGCCGTTTCGACATCTGTATAACTCTTTAATTTTTACAAGTGCGTTGTCGTTTATCAATAATTTTTCATCCGAAGTGAGTGTTAAAATGTTGGAATCCTGCTTAATAACATGCCGTTTTAATAACACTCAGTGCTTGAAAGACGATATCGTGCAGATTGAAAAAGCCGAAAACGTGTGAAGAAATAACCACTGGCCACGAACTGACTGACTCCTGGAAATCGATCGTTCTTTCGGGGAACG